ATTGTGAATGAAGTGAAGCCGCGCGCCCTGGCCGGCTACAGGGCGGCGCCGGCGGAGTTTGTCGAGCACGTGGGCAGAAACTGTTCTTCTGTCGACAGCCCCGAGGAGTGGGGCGACCTGTTCGTCGAGTACAGTGACGCCGAGTGGGTCGCGAAGCGCAACTTCGAGTGCGCAGCGGCGGCCGTGAAGTTCGTGCTCCCCCGCCTGAGGCGCAGGCTGGCCCGGCCCCGCTCAGTGATCGAGGCTCGGCGCGCCGCCGCGCCGCGCGTGCTGCCTGGGCCCTTCGCGGCAATCCATGTTGCGCGCCGCGGGGGGCCGCGCTTGGGATTGGGGCTGCTGCCCCAGGTGGATCGAGGGCCCAGTTCGTCGGAGATGCCACTGCTTCAAGCAAGAGACATCTCATTGCCGTCGTCGAGGGGGCGGGCCTGACCTTCGGGGCAACCAGGTCATGCGCTCCCTTCCGAAGATCATGGGGCAGGGCCGGTGGGTCGCGGAGCCCGGCCTCCGCATCCACGCGGGCGTTATCGCCGCCCTAGGAGTCCCGGGCCAGTGCGGGCAAAGTGAGGTCGCCCAGCTGGCCCGCGAGGCGGCCCTGCAGCTGGCCCCCTACTTCCCGGAGGGGTGCCTCGGGGGGCGCGCGGGCGGCGGGCGCGCAGCCCGCGGGCTGGGGGAAGCTGGGGGGCGGCTCGCACGTCGCCCCAGTGAAGGGCTGGGAGGCCCCGCCGCTGGCGAGCGCCCGAGCGCCGAGGAGAGTAGCGTCGCCGGCGGCAGCAGCGGCCGCCGATGGCGGCGCTGGCGCCGCGACCGCCGCAGCCAGGCCAGGAGCTGGCCGCGGCGGGCGCGGCGCCGGCGCCGCCGCCAGCTGCGGCGGGGGTTTCAGTGGCGGCGGGGGCGCCCGGGGGCGGCCGCGGGAGCGGCGGCGGTGGCGCAGCCGCCAGGGCCCTCCGCGGCAGCGCCCGCGGCCTGGCCCTTCCGCGGCGCTGGAGTTTGCCGAGGGCTGCGCCTCTTGCTGGCTGTCGCGCGCTGGCTTTGGCGAGTGGCGGGGCGCGGTGTTGCCTGGGCGGCGGTGGCCCCCTTGCTCATCGGCGTGCGTGCCCTCGGGGCGCCGCTGAGCCATTTCGGGGTCGTCGTCGGCGAGGTCGCGAAGGTGTCGGTCTCGGCTGGCAGCGGCGTCGATGAAGGGTTGTCGGCGGTGGTGACCGCCGCGCGCGGAGTGGCGGACATCGCCCTGCGCTGCTCTCGGCGCGCGGCGAGCCTGCAGGGCGAGATCTGGCGCGGCGCCGACCTCGCCGACCTGGTCGCGAACCAAATGCGCGCGGAGTTGATCGCCGACGACCCCAAGGTGCTGCTGGAGTGATTCGAGACGGAGTTCGTGGACCTACCAGAACCCCTCACAGGAGCACGGGAGGCCCGGGCAGCCATTGAGAAGGCGTCGGTCTCGATCGCTCACGCGCGAGAGAGAGAGAGAGAGAGAGAGAGAGAGAGAGAGAGAGAGAGAGAGAGAGAGAGAGAGAGAGAGAGAGAGAGAGAGAGAGAGAGAGAGAGAGAGAGAGAGAGAGAGAGAGAGAGAGAGAGAGAGAGAGAGAGAGAGAGAGAGAGGGAGAGCGGGCATTACCTACCATGGTTTCGCTGGTACCGCGAGTTTCACGTTGCGCTGGATTTGCAGTCGTCCGGCTTCTACGGCATCTGCGTGATAGACCGCGATTTGACGTCCGCGGCGTGGTGGACCAACCCTATCTGGGAGGCGCTAGAGATGGGCGCTCAGAGAGGGAAATATATATATATATAGAGAGAGAGAGAGAGAGAGAGAGAGAGAGAGAGAGAGAGAGAGAGAGAGAGAGAAAGGGAGAGAGAGAGCGTGAGCCGCTATTGCAGCGGCTCAACCAGACGCTCGTCTCACTCCCACTATCCGCCATTCGTTGCATCTCAATGGCTGACGAAGACCTTCCAGCAGCCTGGCTGAATTTGCTAAGAAGAAGTGTCGTGCGGGTATCGTATATCAGTGCGCGCGCCGCCCTTCAGACAATCATCGTTGCAGGGCATTGAAGCTTTCAGTGAATGAGGGTTCTTGGGTGCACGCGTGTGGGGCGGGGCGAATGGTGGCGCCCGAACCTCGCTTCGCCATTCTTCGGTCTTACTTCATTACAGTCGCAGAGAACAGTTAGGGTCTCCTGGCACTTTGCTCGACCGATTGGGCGGGAAGACGCCCTGGGCTGTGTCGTGTGTGGTCGAATCGAAGCAATTGGTTGTACTTTTGGTCTCCTCGTGAAATAATGTGCCCTTCCCTCGTCGGGGGTACCAACCTCCAGCACCATCATGGGATAATGCTAGAAGGAGTGTGTATTTGTGTGCGATGCGAGCAGGAGTCTTCCGGATCGTGGTGGACGTGCGTTTCTGGCCCCGCTCTTGGGGTCCAGGGGCTCGCCTTGGCCTCTTCGGTTGCCCATTGGAAGAGCGGGCCCGTTTTGGCCCGCTCAGCGCAGCGCGCCCCTTTCCGATCGCTCGCTATTGCTCAAAGGTTCTCGCGGCCCCCCCCGCCGCCTCCCGCCGAGCCAACGTGCTCGGCGGTTTCATATTTGGCACAGAAGAGCAATCACTGGGGGTACCGACCTCTAGCGCTATCATGGTTATGATGTTGATGCTGATGATGCTATTGTTGTTGCTGTTTATGATGACGATGATGATGATGCTGATGCCGACTGCGGGATGTGGATGGTGAGGATGCTGCTGAGAACGATGGCGGGGATTGTGACGATGACGATGGCATTGATAACGACGACGATGGTGCTGATGGCGCTGGTTTTTACGACGATGATGATGATGATGGTGATAATGTTGGTGATGCTGATTATGTGGATGTAGTTCACGAGGACGGTGACGATGGCGATGCTGACTGTGATGGCGTTGATGGTGCCGATGATGCGAATTCCACAAGTGATTATGTTGTTGCTGGTGATGGTGTTTTTATGGGATGATGACGATTATGATTGTGTTGGTGATGAGGATAGGGGTGGTGAAGATGAGGTTGATGGTGATGAAACTGATGATGATGATGACGGTGATGATGATGATGGGGATGATGATGATGATGATGAAGATGATGCGGGTGCCGCGGCTGATTGTGACGATGACGACGAGGATGATGATGCTGACGACGATGATGATCGGGGTGATGGCGATGACGATGACCATTCTGACGACGGCGATGATGATGGTGATGATGA